TGAGGGTGGAGGTTGTAGGTTGGGTGAGGGTGGAGGTTGTAGGTTGGGTGAGGGTGGAGGTTATAGTATGGATGAGGTGGAGGTTGTATGGTCAGTGAAGGTGGAGGTTGTAGGCTGGGTGAGGGCAGAGGTTGTAGCCTGAATGAGGGTGGAGGTTGTAGGCTGGATGAGGGTGTTGGTTGTTGTCTGGGTGAGGGTGGAGGTTGTAGGTTGGGTGAAGGTGGAGGTTGTAGGTTGGGTGAGGATAGAGGTTGTTGGCTGGGTGAGGGTGGAGGCTGTAGGTTGAGTGAGGGTAGAGATTGTAGGTTGAGTGAGGGTGGGTGTTATAGGGTTGGTGAGGTTGTAGATTATAGGCTGGGTGAGGGTGGAGGTTGTTGGCTGGGTGAGAGTGGAGGTTGTAGGTCAGCCTGAATAGGAAAGGCTGCTCCTCACTGTCTCTGGGGATGGGCTGACTCAGAGGGCAGCCTCTTCAGCATAAGCAGGGTTCAGATGTCAAAGCATTAGATAAAGGAAGTGAAAGTCATGGTTAATATACCCACTCTCCAAGGAACTAGCCCATGGATTGGGTTCTGATAGAAGGATATGAGTCCCTCATGAGCAAACTAAATCCCCTAGACAGTCTCTTGGGAAGGCAGCATACAGACAACTGTTGTGAGCCGCATATCCTGATTTGGAAAGGTGGTCAGGTCCTTCTCGGACGGGTCCACATTGCTCTCTGCTAAGGCTGAGCAGGACCCTGGTGTTGAAGGATACATGGAGTTCTCAGTAGCTCTGGGAGAAAGCCCTGGGAGGAAATGTTTTTTCCTTGCATATATTGATAGACTGAAATGAAGGTGACCTTTATGAGTCATGACCTTCCATGGGTCATGCTTCACACAAGTGACTACAGAATCACAATGGCTTAGGACCCAAGCATTTCCTTCTGGTTTACATAGCATAAAGGCTGTGGGTTGCCACCATGCTGCCCTGGGTGGGAATGCAGTTCAGCACAGGTCAGCACAGGTCAGCACAGGTCAGCACAGGTCAGCACAGGTCTTGGGGAGATGTGGCAGAGAAGCATGAGAGGCTGAGCCACTTGCACAGCCACAGGGGAGGCGGATGCTCGGAGATGGTACCTCTCAGACTCCCACCTTCCAAAGGCTCAAGCCACAGTGTGGGGCAGGGAAGGGGCATGGATGGGCTGGAGTGCTTAGACCCTGGCAAGGAAGAATGGATGGATGGTGGAGCACAACGTGATCTCTTCTGATGCCATCATCTGAGGTGAAAAGTTTAAGTTGCTGCAGAAGTTTGAATTATCTTCTTTAGATCCCTCTGAATAATCTGATATGTCTCAGTGTTATTGTCTTCTTAGTAATCAAGAAGAAAGCATATGATCGCTCCTAGCAAAATAAACTGCAATTTGGCAAAAGAGGCAATTTGGTCATGGTCAAAAATGAACATTGTGGTCTCGGATACATATTTAGCTGATTTTGCAGCCCTTTCATTTTCCTTACGGAATTTTCCTTTTTTCTGACTTAAAAAAATTCATTATCAGTCATATGTTTTCTACTCTATATAGTTTGTAATAGCAAAAAGTCAGAAAAACCTTAAGATCCAGGAAGAAATTAGCGAGAACATTCTAAATATCCACATTGCTACTAAGTTTTTTTGTTTCCTGTATTTTTGCTCACTACTGAACAGCACACTTTTTATTCTAAAAAACACGAGAAATAAGTCAGGCGCAGTGGCTTACGCTTGTAATCCCAGCACTTTGGGAGGCCAAGGCCACCAGGTCAGGAGTTTGAGACCATTCTGGCCAACATGGTGAAACCCCGTCTCTACTAAAAGTACAATAATTAGCTAGGCATGGTGGTGCGAGCCTGTAATCCCAGCTATTCGGGAGGCTGAGGCAGGAGAATCGCTTGAATCTGGGAGTCGGAGGTTGCAGTGAGCCGAGATTGTGCCATTGCACTCCAGTCTGGGTGGCAGAGTCAGACCCTATCCTCCCTGGCAAAAAAAAAAAAAAAAAGAAAAAAAGAATATTAACTTTTTTTTAAATAACCTCCAGCATATCCCAGGATTTTTATATGCCTCCAGCATAGCCCAGGAGCCTCGGCTGCTTCTCTGAGTGAGACGGTTGGAAGGATGGGTGGACAGGGCAGAGCACACCCCGCCTCCAGCATAGCCCATATAAATTTCTTTTTATAACTTTTTTTATAACTTTAATCTACAACTACTTCCTTTTATAACTTTACAGCTATTTCTAACTCCAAGGGAGAATTCTGTTAATCAGCAAACAATCCAACAAAAAACTGGCAATTGTTGAATAGCCAAATTGACTCAGAATAGACTCAAAGTATCACTCTAATACTATTTAAATTTGAACTGTTGGCTGAAAAGCCTGTTTTTTTCCTGTAAAGTAATCATTTCAGTCAAGACAAGTAGATGAGCAGCAATATTCATTTGGGCACTTAGACTATTAAAACCAGCTATTTAAAAAAATCATAGATTTAGCCACTGCTTAATGTTTTTGCAATTTACCTAATATGCTTGTTTCGTACCTTTTCATACTGTGTTTCTACTTGCGTTATGGCAAGGGAAGACAGTTTGAAAACAGAACAATTTTGCTCTTTACTCCATGTTTTTTATTGAGTGGATAGAAATCAACAGTTAATCAAGGAATATGGAAAGAAGGTTGCTTCCCTCATCTGTTGATTCATTTGAAAACTATTGACCAAGTGCTTTCTGCTCTAGACATTGACAGAATAACAGTAAACACACAGAAATCTGTGTCCCTTTTGAGATTACACTTTGGTGTGGAAGCAAGTCATCAGATAAATAGGAAACCCCACAGCACGATAGGGGTTACTTGTGGAGGAGGCAGAAGGGAGGGTCAGGAGGCCTGGAACGTTAGATGGGGACAGGGAGGAGGCCCTGCAAGGTGAGATTGACTGGAGACTGGAGGAGCAGAGGAGAACCAAGGGTCATCCAGTAGAGTGCGGCCTGCAGAGGATGGCAAGAGTGCCATGCCCAGCAAGCCCCAGAGGTGGGGAGAAATTGGGCACTGGAGGGGAGCAGGCATCCTGAGTGATGTGGTGCCACATGGGTGAACGGGGCAGAGCACACCCCGCCTCCAACATAGCCTAGAAGCCTCTGGCTGCTTCTCTGAGTGAGGCTGTTGGAAGGATGGGTGGACGGGGCAGAGCACATCCCCCCTCCAGCATAGCCCAGGAGCCTCTGGCTGCTTCTCTGAGTGAGGCTGTTGGAAGGATGGGTGGAATGTTATAGAGGACCCCTGGTTGCCATGTTTGTGTCGACAACAGATGGGAAGGGCTGAAGGAGGAGAGTGGTGAGGCGTCTGCTTGGGTCCACGTGGGAGAGGCAGGAGGTTCTGGCCATGGAACAGCGTGTACTACGAGGGTTGGACTCTGGAGAGACTCTGGGTGTAGAGCCCGAGGGATTTGCTCCCAGATGAGATGAGAAAGGTAGGAGAAGAGAGGCATGATCATGACTCCAAAAGTTTGTCCTGAGCAGCTCAAGAATGGGGTTACTGTGTCCTGAGAATAGAATACGTCAGAAAGTAGGTTTGCAAGGGAAGATAATGAGTCCAGCTGGGTCCTGTTTCTTTTGAGCTGCCTATTGAATGAAAATCCACATGGATAATGAAGTTGGATCTGATCATCTGGACTGAGGAGAGAAAGAGGTCCATGCTGAAGATTACAGCAATTTGTATCCTTGGAGCTGTCAGGAAATAGAGTATTTAAAATCTTGAGACCAACTGAGCCCACTAGTGAGTGGGTGAAACTGGAAAAGGGATGAGGATGCTGAAGCCCCTGGGGGGCTTCCCAGAGGTTTCCATGGAGACGCAAGCGTGGAAGCTGAGCTGAGAGCAGGAAGGAGAGTTCCCCGGGAAGCTCCGCTGTGCAGGGGCGGTAAAGCCAGGAGACAGACAGCACAGCTCCCTCCGGCTTTGACTCTACTCGAAGCTTTGGAAAAAACTATTTTGAGTCAAACACTTTCATTTCTCCGGGTTTTAATATAGAAGCAAAAGACTTCAAAGAGCCCTAGTTGCGGCATTGCTGATGGCTTTGCTCCCGGCACCCCAGGGACGTGAACCCCCTCCTTCTGGGGAAAGGTTGAGAAACATCTAGAATTCAGTTCTCCAGAGAAGGTGGATTGACCTTAGAGTTTGGGGTAAAGTAAAACATTCTTCTAAGGCTGCACTAGAGAATCTGTGTTGTTAGAAAGTACTTACATAGTAACTTTCGAATCCATTACTCATAATTTATGTTCAATGCATATATAGTTAGCTCTTCTGTGGATTCAAGCAAACTTGCATCAAAAATTCTCAGAGAACAAAAAAGATACAAATAAAAAACAATGTAGTATGTAGCAACTATTTACACAGCGTTAACATTGCACTAAGCATTTTAAGTAGTCTATCGATTATTTGAAGTACATAGGAGGATGTGTTTATATTGTATTAAAATATTACATGATACTCTATAAGAAACTTGAGAATTGGAGGATTTGGGTTTGCGGGAGTCCTGGAGCCAATCCCTTCTGGATGCTGAGGAATGACTGTATGCATTTGTTTTTCATGTAAATGAGTTTGCCAACTGATAACGCCTTCCTAAAGTGATGTGGACTCCTTCCTGAAATTATGTTGAACCTTTCATTAAATAATGAATCTCTGATTTTTAATAATATATATTTTTTTCCTGCCAGCCCCCAGAGGTAATGCTGAAAGTACGTCTAATAGACAGGTAAGTATGTTTATATTTTACTCTTAACCATTTCCTTTTTTAATTATAAACAATAACAATGCAGAGTTATGTAGATTTGCAATGGCCAGTACCTTCCAGGAAAAGAAATAATTCAAGGGAGGCAAGCTTACTGTCTACCCCCTGTGGGGACTAAAGCAGTCTTACAGAATTCTATCCAAAATCACCAACTTGTTAATTGAAAAAGTTTATTATTTGAACTTTCAATTATTAAGAAAAATTTCTGAGTTCCCTTGTTTGGTAGATTTTTTTTTTTTTTTTTTTTAAGAGAAGGAGTTTTGCCATGTTGCCCAGGCTAGTCTCGAACTCATAGGCTCAAGCAGTCCACCTGGGATTACAGGTGTGAGCCACTGTGCCTGGCTGAATTTTTTTCAAGCAGTTGTCTGAGTGTTTGTAATTTGGTTCCTGCATTTTATCAGGGAGGTTGCAGGAACAGGAGGCATCCTTCATACATGGGTGAATTTGTTTCTTTTTGGGGTCCCAGCAAGAGAAGCGTCGGGCTCCAAAAGGTACTTTCAGCTCCTGCTGTGTGTTCACAAACATGTGTTTGTGTTTGTGGTTCTCCCTCTCAATTTGCAAGTAAAGGATGCGATGGTGGTGTCCTCCAGCACCCAAAGCCGCAACCTATCCCATGTCAAGAACATTTTCCAGACGATAAACATGAGTGGGTTCATGTCTCTCTCCTTCAAAGCCAGGGCAAAATCCTCACTTCTTTGCTACCACGAGTCAATTTGTGATTTATTTTGCCTGCACCTGTTTGATGTCAGGTTGACATTTCCTAAGGCAAGCCCCTGTATTTGTTGTGGGTTTAAGTGGAGGCGGCCAGCACACACCTTGGATGTAATTTAAAACCATTTCATGAGGAAAGATGTGTGATACGTTTTCCTTTGTTTAGCAAATGTTTATGGTTTTAACTTTAAATCTCACCGCAAATCACTTACACTTTAAAACAGGGCTGGTCTGAAAGTAATTACCCTCCCTGAGTGCCAAGACCTCCAGAAGTTGTTTTCATTCAAGAACGGCAATCACTGTACTCATGCGCTCCACGCATATTAAATGAACTCAGTTCAAAGCACACGCCTCCTGCTTCAGCTCTTTTTTTCCAAAGTGAGAAACGGAAGCAGCTTCCCCTCCTTTTTTTTTTTTTTTTTTTGTGGGAGGGGGACGGAGTCTCGCTCTGTCACCAGGCTGGAGTGCAGTGGCGCAATCTCGGCTCACTGCAAGCTCCGCCTCCTGGGTTCACGCCATTCTCCTGCCTCAGCCTCCTACAGCCGGCCGCCACCACGCCCGGCTAATTTTTTTAATTTTTAGTAGAGACGGAGTTTCACCGTGTTAGCCAGGGTGGTCTCGATCTCCTGACTTCGTGATCCGCCCGCGTCGGCCTCCCAAAGTGCTGGGATTACAGGCTCCCCTCCTTTTATAGTGCCTGAGTGGACACGCGGACCTCCATGCCTTTCATTTTGTGGCTATTTCTGCAGACTATGATACTGGGATTGATCCTAACGGGCAAGCCAATTGCGGCTCCTACCGGCCGTGGCCATTGAAGGTCACCATGTTTCTTTGAAGCATCTCAGAGAACAACATGGTGCCGGCCAGTCAGGGTTTCCCTGTATGCATGGCCCAGACAGGAACTATCAAAAGAAGGGATCACAGGAGGGTGATGATGCTAACGTGGAATCCAGAGGAGCTATTTCCTGATCTCTTCAGCTTCCACTGCAACTCCAGAGTAATCAGAGATGTTATTAAATAAGTTAAGATGTTAGTCCACCTTCTCCTCCAGCAATCCTGACCATCTTTAATGACTGGTAAAATACTTTGACAGGTTGTCTTTATGCACAACGAATTTAAACCTCAAGTTTAGTGTAGGAGATGGGTTTGTCTTCTCACTTCTTCAGATCTTTATCAAGGGGAATAAAAGCCAACTCAGAAACCTCCTAAACTTTAAAATTTATTTATTTAAATAGTAAAACAGAAGAATAGATCAACATTTGTAAGAATTGGCCCTCTAGGAAAACTGAGTCTAGGAGATTGTATATTACTTTTCTTTTTCATTCTAAATTACTTTTAATGGAAAGTCAAGGTGCTGAGTTACTGTTGTTTATCATTATAATCAGCAAACTTTTTAAGTTGGATTTCTTCTTAAAGAGGTAAAATAGTGAACAAAAGAGATAAAAAGGAAAATTAAGAATCAACTATGCCTTTATCAAATTTGAAGCATAAGTTATAGTATTAAAATTATTTTTGCATAATCAAGGTGATAAGACATTCTGGAAAACATTTAATGTATTCAGTACTTAAAATATTTACAGTGGATGTTACTTTTTTGAAATGATATAGTTTTCCCAATATTTCTATCATGTCAAGGAAGGAAAGCGTTAAAAAGTTACCAGTGTCCAAAATGTCTTCATCATTTCTCATTCATCCTCACACCTCACACACCCTGCCCAGCCCTCTTTGGTTCAGTTCATTCCCGGAAATGTCTTCATCGTTTCTCATTCATCCTCACACCTCACACAACCTGCCCAGCCCTCTTTGGTTCAGTTCATTCCCGGAAGCCACTTAGTCTTCTCAGATGAGGGACACACACCTCTGAATATAATGTCTCTTTTTTGTCTTTTCTTTTCAGCCAAGGAAACAAGGATAAATGGCTCCCACAGCGAAGGCAGTTCCTAGACACGTGGGAAATCCCCTCACCAACGAGCAATTAAGAAAACAGAAACAGAAACACGTAGTATTTGCACTTTGTACTTTAAATGTAAATTCACTTTGTAGAAATGAGATATTTAAACAGACTGTTTTAATCTGTGAAAACGGAGAGCTGGCTTCAGAAGATTAATCACATACAATGTATGTGTCCTCTTTTGACCTTGGAAATCTGTATGTGGTGGAGATGTATTTGAATGCATTTAGGCTTAATTTCTTCGCCTTCCACATGTTAACAGTAGAGCTCTAGGCACTCTGGTTGCAATCCTATGGCTTTCCCTAACCCCTGCAGTCACTTCCAGACGGCTGTGCTTACAGCATTGTGGAATCATGTTGGAAGCTCCACATTTCCATGGAAGGTTGTGATGTACGGTTGACCCTTCAGGCAGTTAATATACACGGGCTGGTTTGTTTCTTGGGGTTTTCTGTTAGTTTGTCTTGTTTTGCTTTCCAGAGATCTTGCTCGTACAATGAATCATGCAACCACTAAAGCTATCCAGTTAAGTACAGGTAGTTCCCCTGGAGGAAATACGATTTCCAAACTGTCTTTGGTGTGACACTTTGGCTCAAAGGATGTTTGCTTTTCCATTTTAAGCTTCTGTTTGAGTTTTGCCCTGGGGCTCGAGCGAGTCCTGGAGAGTCGTTCCTGATGGTGGGAGGCTCCCTAGGAGGGGCCCATCCTTCCAAAATGTAAAGCCAGTCACGGTGTGACCGAGCTAGCTAACAGGCTTGTCTGCTGGGTTTTTCTCCTACACGATCCTCCTACCTGGTCCACCCCAGGGCTACCGGAAGGTAAAGTCTTCACCTGAACCAATTATGAGCAGTCTCCTTACTGAAGGCACAGCCAGATCCATGGTGCCCCCTGGGCTGGTGTTGGCAGCCGGGGAGAAATGCCTGCGGGTCCCCACGGTTCCTTTCTGCTTTTCTGAACGCATCAAGGGTACAAGAACTTGCCAATGGGAAATTCATCTGAGTGGCACTGGCAGAGAAGGATAGGAGCGGAATGCCCACACGGTGACTAACGGAACTGGCCTGTGTGCACAGCCAGCTGCCCCGCTCAGGCCTGGGTCCGGAGCTCAGGGCGCCCTCTGTCTGTAGGAACTGTTTGGAGGACAGTCTGAGAGTGGAAACTTCCATGTGATTCTATCTCGGCTCAGACTGTTGGTTGGAGAAACATCTTCGAGGCCCCAAATCCCCTGAGACGTGCCTTGTAGAATGACGTTTGTGAGGTTGGGATGCTTGTGGAGCATCGCATAAGGCTTCTTCCTTATTTAAACTGTGCAAGGTAAAAATCAAGCCTTTGGAGCCACAGAACCAGCTCAAGTACATGCCAATGTTGTTTAAGAAACAGTTATGATCCTAAACTTTTTGGATAATCTTTTGTATTTCTGACCTTTGAATTTAATCATTTTTCTTAGATTAAAATAAAATATGCTATTAAAACTATGTTAGTCTTTTTTTTTTTTCCAACTAAATGCAGATTTTGATAATTGCTTAATTGTACAGGTGTCCACTGTAAGGGAGGGAAAGATGAGGGCTCTGGGCAGAAAGAATGGGAATCCTGGCTGTGTCCCTGAGTGGGGTGTGACTTTAGACATGACCCCTCAGTTCCCCCTCTGGGATGCGGGGATGCTGGTGGCATGCATGAACCTCCTCCTTCCACACATGGGAAGAGAATTATGGGAGTTGTTAATGTATGCAAAGTGCTTGGAACCTGCACCCCAGGTGTGCCACGTACACGTGTTTGCCCTGACCGTGTGGAAGGTCATCTTTCCGTGAGTCTTAACTCCACACTGCCCAGTGCTGCTGACGTCACCCAGTGCTATAGGAAACTTCAGAAGAAACAAAAAGAGTGCCTTATTTTGATTAAAGCCGGTGGCCGGGCACAGTGGCTCATGCCTGTATTCCCAGCACTTTGAGAGCCCGAGGCGGGTATATCATTTGAGGTCAGGAGTTTGAGACCAGCCTGGCCAATCTGGTGAAACCCCATCTCTACTGAAAATACAAAAATTAGCTGGACATGGTGGCAGGTGCCTGCAATCCCAGCTACTTGGGAGGCTGAGGCAGGAGAATCGCTTGAACCTGCAAGGGAGAGATTGCCAGTGACCTGAGATCATGCCATTGCAGTCCAGCCTGGGCAATAGAATGAGACTCAGTCTCAAAAAAAAAAAAAAAAAAAAAAAGCTGGTGCTTTTCTCCAAGTTAACACAACTAGAAGCCTGAGGATGCCTTGATCTGCCCCTCCCCCACACCCCACATTCCCCTCCCCCACACCCCACATCCCCCCCCCCCCCCCCCCCCGCACCCCGTGTCCCCCCCCCCCACCCCTGCATCCTCTCCCCCACACCCCACACCCCACACAGCATCCCGTGTCCTCCTCCCCCACACCTGCATCCCCCACACCCCCACGTTCCCTCCCCACACCTCCCTGCATCCTCTCCCCCCACACCCCACACCCCACACAGCATCCCGTGTCCTCCTCCCCCACACCTGCATCCTCTTCTCCCCCCACACCCCACACCCCACACAGCATCCCGTGTCCTCCTCCCCCACACCTGCATCCCTGCCTTGCTTAGGCCCTCGTGTTTTCGTTGGACTGTTGTGGCAGCATCTTAACTGGACACACTTCGTCCAGGATTCCTTACTGCCTCCTGGTCCTGGTAAATTCACCCAGCCCACCCCAACCCCATACACAATTTTCTTTCTCTTCAGAAAAAAAGTGATCTTTGTAAAACTCTGTCTTAGCATTGGCGATGATCAATTGTGCAGTAAAGACAATACTGTGAAGGGCATTAGGAGACGACTGTTGTCAGAGAAAGCTGCTAGCGGAGGTGGGGCTTAAACTGGGATTTGGAGTAGGTAGGAGAGGATGAAGTGTTCAAGAAGACTGAAAGAGCTTGAAAAAGACAGGAAGGGAAAGGGAGTGGGGAGGCATGGAGCCAGTGCAGCTGGTTCTTATTGCAAAATATTAAGATTGCAAATCCAAACCAGAAATCTGTTTCTCTTACCTGGGCCATGTGCCTGTTTCTAGCGAAAGATGCCTCCCTCCCCAAACCATCCCCCACTCTCCTCGTTATGTCTGAAAAGGCTTTCGTGTATTTTTGTCAAAAATATCTTGGTTGGAGATTTTAGAAGCATACGGACCAACTCATAAATCATGCCCATCGTTGCCACACCAGAAATTGTTTGAATGATCTAGGTGAATGTTTTCAGCTTTTTTTTTTCGGAATCAATGTACAGAAATGACTGACATCATAAGCTGCCAATTGGACAATCGAGTCGTGCAAACAGCAAAGCTACTCAAGAAAGACAATATGGGCTGGGTGTGGTGGCTCATGCCTGTAATCCCAGCACTTTGGGAGGCCGAGGCAGATGGATCACCTGAGGTCAGTAGTTCAAGACCAGTCTGGCCAACATGGCAAAACCCTGTCTCTATTAAAAATACAAAACATTAGCCAGACATGGTGACACGTGCCTGTAATCCCAGTTACTCGGGAAACTAAGGCATGAGAATCACTTGTGCCGAGACCAGCTCAGTCAGGGAGACCCTAACCCAGTGGCACTAGAGGAATTAAAGACACACACACAGAAATACAGAGGTGTGAAGTGGGAAATCAGGGATCTCACAACCTTCAGAGCTGAGAGCCCCAACAGAGATTTACCCACGTGTTTATTAACAGCAAGCCAGTCATTAGCATTATTTCTATAGGTATACAATTAACTAAAAGTATCCCTTATGGGAAACGAAGGGATGGACTGAATTAAAGGAATAGGTTGGGCTAGTTAACTGCAGCGGGAGCAGGTCCCTAACGCACAGATCGCAGGTGCTATTGTTTGTGGCTTAAGAATGCCTTTAATGTGGGGTGTGGGGGAGGGGCAGATCAAGGCTTAAGAATGCCTGAGCGGTCCAGGTGTTCCTTGCCCTCATTCCCGTCAACCCACAGCCTTCCAGCCTGGGCGTCATGGCCATCACGAACACGTGACCGTGCTGCAGAGATTTTGTTTATGGCCAGTTTTGGGGCCAGTTTATGACCAGATTTGGGGGCACCTGCTCCCAATAACTTGAACCTGGGAGGTGGAGGTTGCCGTGAGCCAAGGTCATGCCACTGTGCTCCAGTCTGGGGGATAGAGTGAGGCTCTGTCTCAAAAAAAAAAAAGACAGTATGAATATTATACAATGCTCGTTTACCTTTGTCTTTATCCCTGTGCGTTGTTGAGGCTGGTCAGTCTAGTATGGGTCTAGTATGGTAGTCTGGGCTCTGCTGGACTGGCTCTGTGCGTCAGGATGGGCACAGGTGGGCTGGAGTCTCATCCTTCTGGGACTCTGGGACTCATGGGTCTTGAGGGACAGGTTCTTGCTCAGCTGTGGCTGAAATGGAAGAAAGTCAGTGGGACTGCACAAGCACGTTTCAAGCCTCAGCTGTGACCTGTCTGCTAATACCTGCTGGCCGAAGTCTGTCACGTGGGTCAGAACAAGTCACCAGGCTGTGGCAGGGAGTGGAGGCAGAACACCCCTCACAGTAATGAAATCTCACCACTCAAACTCCTGTCTACACACGCTTGTCTGCTGAACCTCCTGACAAAGTGGAAAGGCTGAGGAAGGGCGTGCATGCCGGGGCAGTGTCAGGTTGTGGGAAGTCACAGATATGGGGGTTAAACGCAGATGGAACAGGGGCCTCCTGGCTTACCAGCAGTATGACCTGCAGGCCATAGGATCCCAGCCTCCTCAATTTCAGCCCCGGACCAGAAAACAGTTCTTTGAAATCTCCCCCTCAGAGTTACTGTACATGGAACAGGAGATTGTAGGTGTAGAGCCTGATGTGAAACAGGCACTCAACAAAGGCCATCAGGAACTCAAATGTGGGTATCAGAACCATTTTGTATCAAATGATTCTGAATTTTCCTCTTGAAAGAGAACAAAGGACGGGGAAAGCCGAATCCACAAACCTGAGCAATACACATCAGGCTGAAATGGCAGGTCTTAACCACCTACAGAAGGAAACCCTCCAAAGGTGATAGGGGAATTTTATGCTGACTCCTCAAAAGTGTTAGCAATTGACTTCGCTTATAAGAAATAGAAAGTGGAAAACCAAATCCCAGCGGACTAAGACCAGGAGTTATTTTTCTCAGTTAACAAGAGGACAGGCAGAAATCGAACCTGTGTGCTGAGGCAGCCAGCAGCGCTGCCCCTGTGTCCTGGTCCCTCCTCTCCGCCCTGCATCCCTGCGGTGAGGCTTCGCCCCTGCATCCCGGTCCCTTCTCTCCATCCTGCATCCCCGGGGGAAGGCTTCGCCCCTGCATCCCGGTCCCTCCTCTCCATCCTGCATCCCTGCGGTGAGGCTTCGCCCCTGCATCCTGGTCCCTCCTCTCCGTCCTGCATCCCTTGGGGGGAGGCTTCGCCCCTGCGCCCTGATCCCTCCTCTCTGTCCTGCATCCCTGGAGGGAGGCTTCGCCCCTGCGCCCTGGTCCCTCCTCTCCATCCTGCATCCCTGGGGGGAGACTTCGCCCCTGCATCCTGGTCCCTCCTCTCCTTCCCATCCACGGGGGAGGCTTCGCCCCTACAGTCCGGTCCCTCCGCTTCTGTGGAGAGAAGTTTCGCCCCTGCAGTCTGTTCCCTTTGCCTCTATGGAAGGAGGCTGGACTCCTCCGCCCTGGTCCCTCCACTTCCTCCTCACGCTGCCCAGAGGGCTCCTGTGTCTTTGTGCGTCTGAGCAGACAGGACCCAGGGTGGAGAGCAAGGGCAAGAAGCAGAATATGGCAGATTTCATGACTTTAGTTTTCCCCTGTCCCATCTAGTGGAAGTCTGCTGAATTTCACTGGCCACCGACGTCTCTTCTTGGTGTCTCTGGCTTCAGGGTTTTAACTGGACATTTGCTGCCCAGGAAAGAATAGGAGTTCTGTAAGCCAGGCGGAGGAGGGGCCGTGGTTATGGGCAGGCTGCGGGCAACGCGAGCCACAGGTGCCAGTGGCTCAGGCTTAATGGTACATTTACACCTGATGATTTTTATTCCAGCTTTTATACAGAGTAAATGCCTTATTTTCTATTTACTTTCTCTGGACATCTGAATGCTTACTAAGTAAGTACTGACAAAGTTGATTCAAAGTTAATTGAATTTGTGTGTGTTACATGGAAAAAAGTTTGATATATCTTGTTATTCGGGTTTAACTTCAGGAAAAAACATTTTGCTTCCTTATGTTGAAGTTGGAATCATGCTCAGTACAAAGATTGTGTTTTTGTTGCAAAAGCTGGAATTTTTATGGTCACCACCAGCCTCCTCTCACATTGCCTTTTCAATCTCCTGCGGCTACTGTGGTTGAAAGGAAAGGTGTCTTTTTATTGCTTCTAGAGATGTTGAAAGTGTGACCTGAGGTAAGGCTCTGAATGTTTGAGTTCAAATTCCCATATTCATGATTCTCTGAGCGGTGTAATAGATGTCAGTTTTATT